GATAAATGCAGAAAAAAGTTATAGGGCCCGTGGGGTGAAAAAGCAAGATACTATGTCTGGCATCTTTAATCTACTTAGTTTAGTCTTTTCAACAAATACATTATTGATTCTTGGTTTGTCTTTACTATTCACAGCGTGGATTTTTTTTCATTCTTGCCTCAGGCAGCAATAAACCATACTAAAGGGTCACATAGACCAGCAGGTATTGCGCTCAGGAAATCTACAACAGCTCAAAACTGAAATATTTCCATCCAATCTGGAGTTCAAAAATGCCAGTACACCTGGGAGGAACAGAGAGAGGGTGCATTCTAAATTTGATGCTTAATGGCTTGTTCTTCACTGTGTGGAAAGGCACTTCATGCTACTTGARCACACAATTTGTGTACACTGCTAAAACAAGTGCTTGTGCAGGTTGTTGGACTTGACACATCACTGCCCTGTCTCAACAATTTTATGCATTAATTTTTTAAGAAGAAGAATTTTTYCTCCCTTTCGCAGATGCTGCTTTATTTCTGCAGTAGTCATTTGGCTGGCAAGAGGTGAGCTCCACATATCCTTCWTTTTGTCCTGCACAGTGCACCATGAGCCTTATTTGATTTCATGCACTTGTCATATATGCATGCATATATGACATGCATATATCAGCAACCAGCCAATCTACACTATTTATCTTCATTTCAGGATCTATTGCAGCAAAAACTCTGTCAACAAAAACTACATGGAATCCACCAGCAGCTCTTCAACTTCCTCCYAATGCTGCMCCGAAAAAGSTTTTTACSTGTTCTGAGTTTACAGCAATATAYACAACAGAYRAAAWTGTGATTAGAAAGATTGTTAAGGWYTGGWTTAATGGGAAAAACTGGTTTAAAGMASRAGTRAGGAAAAATTGAAATTTAAAACTTTGATTACAGCAAAGCTGCCTGGTTACAACGATGCATTATACACTTTTGATGCTCTYAGCAAGACCTCAAATGCTAAAGGGTATTAAAAAAATACGGGTGGGTAAAATATAAAAATATCCATGCTTTTTGGAAAGCCCTCATTACAGCACTTTTGACTGACAATCCCCCAACAATCAATTGCTTTTTAAACCTAACACTGGTAGTTGATCAATATAATAACTTATATCTCATCAGATTCTTCAGTGTTTCAAAAGATCACAGCATTAATTGTCAAACAAATATTGTTAAAAATACRATTTCTCCTAACACCTCTAATTTGCATTTCACTCACAAGTATGCATTTACTGAGTCTTGTATTCTTCAGTCAAAGAGGAAATTAAATAAYCAGTTAATGGYACTTCCAATTCCAGAAGCTCAAATCCAATTTAGTCTTGACATGAACTTTAGGTCTTATTGACACTTGTTTCAAATGGCATTTTCCACATGTGTTCTGATAAGTGTTCAGTGTATCGTTGGGGGTTTTAAAATTTAATTTAATATCATTAAAATTTATTTTAAAATCATTAAAATTTATTTTAAAATTCAAGCAAACATATTCTGCTTCAGCAAGGAATGGGATTTCCTAGTGTTCTAGGAAACTCTTCAGGGGAAATCAAAAAGCCCAAACACTCATGTTTTTCAAGTAATTTTGAACAATATGCAAATTGAGACAGGAGCAAAAGCAATGACAGAGCAAATGACAATTACTGTTGTCAGAAGAAATGTCTGCATTTGGAAGAAAAGAACCGATTCTGTGGTTGGCCAGATCCAGCAGCAAAGGATCTGCAAGACTAAGAAATCTCTTTTGTCCAACAAAGCAGATCAAATAAGAAGCTGATCTGAACAATTTAAATGTAAATTTCTTACCACCTGTCAGACAAGTGAGATTGAAAGACCTCCACTTAAAAACCCAGGCATCTCCAACCCCAGCCTTTAAGTGAAAATTGACCTCCCACCTCAATTTCCTTGTAAATGTGGCCATGTGGCAGCAAAGGGGTTGTTTGTTCCAGCGCTTTATTAAATTTAGGTTATGTGCATGGTTGGCACAAGATGATCCACACTGTGCCTGGGGAAAATAACCMTTTCAAGGCAGGTCCATGCTACAGGCAAATACAACTAATCCTCTCRGAAACATGACATCCCAGGCAGATTAGCAGAAAGGACACGGAAAAGCATTAAATGCATTGCATGGAGAAACCTCACTGATTGTTAAGCAGTGAGGCAAATGAGGGAAAAGAAAAGATTTTTAATTGAGGGATATGTAAAAAGGAATACCAATTCAAAAGAGCTTGTTACATAATCAAAAATAATTTAAACCTTAGAATCAAGCTTAGGGAACAACTCTGGCYACTGTGATTTTCATTAATTTTATCAAAGTGTCCTCTCTGTATATACAATGACACCCAAGACAGTTCACTTTAGCATGGCAGCTGCACAACTCTGGATTTTGAAAAATTACACTGCAATTTTGAAAGGTTGGGATTATATCAGTGAATTATTGATATGCAGACACCGACCTCCATAGCTGAGTCTTCCTCAAATCTCTGGGAACAGAAATCAGTAAAAAGAAACCCCAAAACTGCACAAAAGAGGGAAGGTTATCAATGTATGGGTCAAAATCTAGAAAGGGCAAAACAATACCTGGGAGTAAGGGAGGTAAAATAGTACGAAACAGCTGTTTGAATTCCTCTTGCAGGATGCAGGAGAARATTTGGGAGTGAGGGGGTGATGCTGAGCTGGGAAGGATGGAGCTCAGGGGAGACCTTTGCCCCTCACTAGGTAAATYTATTTTAAGTGACAATACATTAAATTAATTTTCCCAAGTCAGGTCTGTTTTGCCCACTATGGTACTTGGCAAGTCATGTCCCATTCCTCATCTCTATGCACAACCTTTTTCACCTTGGTTTTCCCCCTGTCCTGCTGAGGAGGTGGAGTAGTAASCAAGTGGCTGAGTGGGCATCTGGCAGCTAACATCAAGCCACCATACAAGCACAGATTCCTCTACCATAAAATATTCTACCTATTCTACTTTCTTTCTTTTCACCAAAACACACAACTTGAAAGCCTGAAAAAAGAAGTCAAAATCRCACACAGAAAAAAAAACATTAAAAAGTAAGGGAGTGGAAAATTAAGGCATGAAAGCACTTGTGCTGGTGAGATCAACATAACTTGGGGACACACACACCCCAATTYTAGTTAGGCTTCTTCAGTTAGATTTACAAAATTAAGAGGCCATCATTCTTTAAAAAACATGGTTGTTTTTTTATAGCTCGATTGCCTCCACAGCAAAGCAGGAAAACTCACAGCTCTGATGAGTCAAACCCAATGAAATCAATACCTATGTTTATTACATATTTACATATGAACTTTGCAAAATAATCTCATGCAAGTTGGTGCTGGTACAAATAAAACCTGCTGAACTTACAGTAACTACCAGGAGATGAAAAAGAATAACATCCTAAAAGTTTGTGTATTACGCCTCTGAAAGTCTGAATATTATTATTAAAAAGTTTTACAAGAAGGAAAGGTGTAGTTGCTCTATAAACTGGTTAAGAATAAAAAAAATAAATTATGCTAGCACTGTAAGAGACACTTATCAAGCTATGTTGAAACCAGCATTTAACCAGCACCCATTATTTAACTTAAAAGTATTCTAGCAGTACAGAAATAAAGTGGTGGGCTTCCAAATGAAAGACGGATCTCCAAAGTTCAGAAAAGTTAGAGAAGGATCTATATTCCTTAGAAAATAGAAGATTAGAATTAAACCACTATGAAACAAATTAATTTGAAGAAACCAAAAGACCAATTGCTGCAGGTTATCTGAGTTCATGCAAACACCAAAAGAAGGGAACTGAAGCCTAATTAAGACATCCCCTCTCCAGCAGAAATTTGAAAAAAATCCTCTAAACAGATTAAAAGAAGCAGGAAGAAGGAAAAAAAATGTTAAGGTTAGCAGTCAGACAAACTTTTGCAAAGAGTTTCAAAACTGCTTAGAACACCTTGGAAAGAGCTAGTGCGCAACAGAAGAAGGTCAAGGGAAGAAACAATGAATGCGTGCGCCTCCGGGACACTTCTTGTGCTAAAATTTCAACATTAATTTTGCTTCTTATGACTTCCCATYAGATTCACATCTACCTTTCTCATGTGCTGTATGGGATAATACCACCAGGAACATACCAAAAAGAACTTATGCTTCAAAAGGATGGAGGTACTTTTGAAAATCCAGTAAAAAATAAAAAAGCCCACAAACCAGTTTGAACAAAGTGAGTTGAGAATGTGGAAAAACATTACCTTCTAAATCCAGTTTTAACAAATGCAGGTGTTACTGTCACATCCCTGTCCCCCAGGAGTTACTCCATGCTCAGAATTGCTGGATGGAATGTTTATGTGGACATCATTTGCTTTGGGCCAGATCAGTGACTATTTAGATTTGTTGTGAAGTAAGAGAAAGCATGTTTCATCATCAGTCCTGACATTTTTGGGGAAAAGAGGAGCTTTACAATTTAGAGATCCACAGACATTAATATATCTAATAGGCAGTGACAAAAACTAGCAATAAATACAGAGTAACCTAAATTGCATGGATCATACATTAMAAGTTACAAAATTAAGGCTTACACATGAAATTCAGGCAGAACCGTTTTGTTTAGTAAGTAAAAAATCAGTGAAATATGTTGACAGTAAGTCATAAAAACAAATAATAAAAATAAGTAGATTAAAAAAAACTGTGGAGGTAAGAGAAAATCTAAGACATCAAGAATGATAAAATGTGGAGCCAAGGCTGAAATGTATTCAGTACAAATATCAAGGTGACCTCTTCCTAGTAGAAAGCTTGATACCATGAAGCTTCAGTAATTTGTGGAAATTGATCTATCAAGCAAGCATAATTTGTTATCAAATGCAATTTTTTTGAAGTAGATAATTTCTTGAAATCATATGTAATTTAAACTTRATATATGTTTATGAACTTCAAGCCTAKRTTTTATTGGCATTAGTGCTGATAGAGAAATGTTTCTATATATTCCTTTTCAGAAAATGTTCAGCTTAGTTAAGGTCAGCATAAATGCCATGTAATCAACATGGAAAACTCTGAAGGTCAGCAACTGGGAAAGAGAATCTTGAAAACATGAAATAAGTTAAGAAAGGATTTGAAAGCTAACTATTTACCACAAAATGCCTCAAATTCCACAGCCAGAAAATCATTGACTGCCCTTAGTAAGACAGTTTTGAACATGCTGGCACTATTAAAGAAATTCAACGGCAGAGTAGTTAAATATTCCTACATCACTTGTGAATCATTTTGGAAAATACCAACTGAAAATATGTGTGAGGAGTTACACTCAAATTTGTCAGCTGTATGCTCTGTAACTTGGCCACCAGCCAGGGTAACTACAGTCACTGCTTCTGATTTCTTACAGTCAATAAAATGGTGACAACTACACCAAAGCTACACAATTGTGAGAAGGGTATAATGTTCAATAACATTAAATCCTTGTTAGGAATGACACAGAAGCATTGCCAATGTGCATTCTCATTACCTGAATCGTGGCTAGCAGCTTTGATTAGCAGCGAGCTGTGAATCTCACACCTTATTTTGGGAAGAGCCTACTATACATCAGTTATTCATTGTTTTACTGAAAATTAGTAAATTGTAACTGATTATGCTGAGAGCAAAATACAACAGAAGATTCCTGTGGCACTGACCTGGCATGCAAATATCATCACTTCTTTCTTCTAGATTGTTTTTTACTATTGTGAAAAATTCATCAGCTTTTCCTTTCTTTCTCACTTTGTAAACTAGGCCAAAAGGGACAAAAATCATCATCTCTTAATTAAGCAGTACCAGCTTAGCAACAGAACTGTTCTTTTCTCTTATTCATAAAGACAGGAAAAAAACACTCTAAAACCTAACCAAACCCAGAAGACTACAACCAACTCRTGAACACAGCTCAAAATGTCATTGGACAGGTTCCTAATGGCACCAGGCTAAAAAATATGTTCTGGACACCTAACAGTCAGCTATAGCATGTTTACTGCTACAACAAAAAGCATGGTTAAAAATCTATCAGTGGCAGAATGTTTAGCACCCATTACAGACACAAGTGTAACTACCTAATGGTAATTAAGGGCATAAGAGAATGATTAATGTTCTGAATCCATAAAATTGCATCAGTTCAGAAGCTATTATGATTGCACTGTCTGAAGCTCACAGCCTACACCGGGCAATTTACAATAATATGCATTYTGCATAAAACTGATATTCCATTTTTCTAGCATTGGATAATGAGCTGGTACATAAAGCTGAAACTATACACCACACACTGGTCACTGCTTTGAACATTGATTTACTCTCATACTAARAATGCACTTGTTTTTCTTAATCTTAAATTCTAGATATTCTTATTCTGTATTTTTCTCATCAAAATGCCAAACGCTTCACACTGTCGTCTTCAGTAATTTAGAAATATTTTTTTTGTTCACCAAAACTGAGAAAAAGGAAAATGGATACAGAAAATACAGTACTGGCTGCTAGCTAGAACAATGGACTGACATTTATATCAGCTCTTATTTACTTAGTGGGTTTACAACTAGGTTTTCCCTATGCAGAATTGGCATAAAATTATTCACATTGAACAGTATCTTCCTCAGTGAATGACCTGGAAGTGTTACTCAATTGGACTAAGCAACCCAAAATTTGGTTTGTAACATAAACAAGTAACAATGTGTGATCAATATTTTCTGTAAGGGACACTCGCTGAGAATGAAGGTTTCATGTTTGTATTTCAGAGAGAAATGAAACAGAAGGGGGCAAAAAGTCTTCCACTGCCACAGCATCACATACAATAAGATATTACCCTTTAAATAGCATTATACAGTATTTCTGTTAAAGGGTTCTTTCAAACACCACAGAAAGAAGGGGGAAAAAATGTGATATGCTGCATTGTCCAAAACTAAATTGGAAAATGATAGATACAGATTATCATCTAGTAATATATAGGAAAGCAAGTACTTTCATTCTCTTACATATAAGTAATATACTGAAAGGAATAAAAGAGATATAAAAATCGTTTACAATTCAGAATTTAAGGCAATGTTCTTTTCAAGAGGCTAGATGCTCTTTCAAGAAAAAGTAAGATAAAGTCTTCCCTGCCCAAATAAAATATTTTTTAAAAGGTACAATACTTTGGACCAGATTCCTTCTCTGCTGAGCTCATTGCAGTTATTCAAAGTGAACAGGGTCAATTGAAAAAAGCCACATTTATTCCTCTCAATGCACTCCACAGCTAGTGCAAATCACCAAAGCTTCTCTGGAACCAATGTGTTCCAGCATGAACTTAGCTCTGTTTCCATATCAGTTACCAGTTGAAAGAATGAAATCATAGCCATAGATAGAATAAAGAACATTATTAAGTAAAGAACRTTATTATGAGTAGGCCAGTTAAAAGAGTTCAATATTCCTAATACAAGCTAGAAGCCACACAAGTTAGCTGCTGCACAATTCCAAAAAATAAGTAAGAAGCAAGTTAAGCAACCATCTACCAAAAGTTCCCAAGTTCTCTACATAGCTGACAGAATAAATCATGTTCTTTAGGCTGCCATTGTTTTCCTTTCCATCTGGAATCAATTTACGTCCTGTTCCCAGGGACAAAATCAGAGTCTATAGGAAGCTATAACTGCTCAGACCTACCAGCAATAACAACAGAATCACAGAATGGATGGGGTTGGAAGGGACTCTAATAGACTTTAAACTTCAACCCCAAATCTTTGTTGTTTTTTGCAGTAGCCATAACACATTCAGCCAAACCAAGGAATTACTTTAGTATTAGTTCCCATGGTGTTAGACATAAAATCACTCCACAAATACAATTTAGCTTGTTCTCCAAGGCAGGATCTTGTAAACCACCGTGACTTTTCCTCCCKAGGACTAATCCAGGAGCTCCCTGGCCCATGTCAGTGATGGACGAGGTGTTGGGATGCTCTCAATAACCTTTATCACACCCGCCAAACCCTGTGACTGAGAGTGAACAGTTTGTTTATGGGCGGTGCTGGTGACAGGAGCACCAACAAGCCCCCTCATTCAGTCCAACGGGTGAATTGAAGGATTAGTCTGTCATGCCAGCACAGGGCCTCATTTTTCTTCTGTGCCACGTGGGTCACCCCTTTCCCTCAGCCTGTATTTGATYGTGATTAATTCGTCAAGGCTGGCTATAGCATGGAAATGAAGAAATGGATTGCCAATTACAGTTATCTTCTTGCAGAACACTCCTTGAACCCGTCCTATTCTGCAGTAGTGACAGCTCAGAAATAACCCAAATGCAGCTCTATTGAGCAGAAACCTGACCTAAAGTGTATTTTAAAGCAAAAGGTGACTTCCCCMTGCCCAAACCAGCTCTTCAGTGTAAATGSTTGACTTCTATCCTGCCCGCCTGGSAGGGACATAAAAAGCCCATCCACACTTGTTTTTGTTGTCACCTTGTTAATATACACTGAACTTCTCTCTTAAGAATCTTCAACAAGAAGGTGCACATTTGTTTCTGCGTGCCTCACCCTGAATTCCCTGAAGGGGAATTTAATATATATATTATCACTGCCAAGTAAACAAACCCAGTGATGGTTCTGCTTTACACAGAAGCTCTGGAAAAGATTTGAACCTTCTCCCCAACAGTACTCACAGAAAGGTAAATTCTGACTCTTGCTGCATTTCCTCTGCAATAAGACTCATGTGTTCTCCCAAGCTGTCTAATATTTCATTGATATAGGCAACTAGCTTGAATTTAATAATCAGTTTCTGATAGATTAATCAAACCTGAGTTTTTATTAATAATTATTMATATAGCATTTGAGAAATAACACCTCAGTCCTGGCAATGCATGCRCATGATTTGTTTTAGTCACTGACACAATCACCAGCAAGTTATTTGAGTTGCATAAATTCAAATTATATGTAAAAATCTAACTTTTTATTACCTCAGAAATTACCAGTTAAAAAGAAAATACTTTTTTCCTACAGAAGTAAAATTCAGACCATTGTAATAGATGCTGTCTTCCATTGTTGTAATTCATGATATTTTATATTATTTTCTGATGCATCACACTTTGAGACAGAAGACAGATGAATGTTTTTCCAACACGTGTGGCACACAATATCTTTAAATGCATTCCCAAGACAAAAAGGCASAACTAACTCTCTTCCAGGCTCAAGGTGGCCTTCCATTAACCCAGCTGCCAACACGATCTGCGGTGTGCAGAGCTGCAGAATACATCTTATAAACAGCATTTTGGCTAAGAAACAGGATTAGTCATTCACTACACTGAATCATCCAGCTCTGCTATTCTTCTGCCTCAGTGGCAGCTGCCCTTTCCAGTGATATATGGCAGCATTCTTATTTAACAAAGATGCAGGGAAAAGGACAACACAGTGAACGACCCTCAGAGCCAGGGACACCTTTTGCGTGTTTTTCAGGTATTTTGATGAGACTCAGAATGGCAGGCCTACTATAAACACTTGTTCCAAACTTCTTGGAGTGACCAACATTAAAAAAGGAAAGATGACCCTGATAATGTAAATTTATGTATAAGGCAACTTTCTGTGTTTGTACAGGAGTAGTATTAAGGGTCTCCAATACTAATGAAAACCATTACAATAGATATTGCATAAATAACCAGTAACAGACAATGTCTGCAATGGAGGATAAAAAGTAGGACAAATAAGGTCCAGCCCCACAATATTCTGTGACCAAGACAGACCTATCCCTCTGYACTGAAAAACAGAATAGAAAGAGAACCTGCTCTCCTGAGGTATTTTCTATCTAATGCAGTCACAGAACTTCAAAAAAAAAACCAAAAGTAAACACCTTGGTGGTAAAACGCTTTGATATACATGACACCACAAATATTATTGCTACTCAGCTTCAGTGAGTCAGGGCTTTCAAAAGCTCTGTGAGGATACACAAACACTCGTACTACTATTCTGTTTTCACAGAATGAGTTTTAAGCTGTGAGTGTGTCTCAACTGAATACACTCAGAGACACAGCATATCTCAAGCTGGAAGGGAATCATGAGAATTATTGAGTCAGACTCTCTGCTCC